CTTTGGATTTTTCTTTGTCAATTTAATTACTGTGTGTCTTGGGTTGAATTATTTTGTTGGGGGGGAAATCTCTGTACTTCCTGATTCTAGATCTCTTTTTCCCTCCCCAGATTTTGGAATTTTCCAGCTATTATTTCTTCAAATATATTTTCTGCCCCAAACCCTCTTCTTCTGGGATCCCTGTAATGCAAATGTTATTACACTTGATGGAGTCACTGAGTTCTCTAAAGCCTATTCTCATTATGCAGTATTTGTTTGCCTTTCACCTTTTCAGAACAACCTAATTTTTAAAAAAGAGCAAAACAGTATATTAAAGCTACATTAACATATCAAAATGAAAAATCATATGATCATTTTTGTAGATATATAAACATTTAAAAAAACACATATATGATAAAAAGCCACCAATACACTAAGATTAGAAAGAGAAGCCTCCAATATGATAAAGGTCAACCATGAAAAAAACTAAAGCTAGTATCATTCTTAATGGTAAAATACTGAATGCTTGCCCCTAAGATCAAGTACAGATGTCTACTTTTACTATTTCACCAGTGCAATAAGACAAGAAAAAGAAAGAGAAGGCATATAGATTGGATATAAGGAAATAAAAACTAGTGTAGCATTGTGTATAAACTATTTGTAAAAAAAAATTGAAAAATAAATAAAATGAAGAAATAAACTGTCTTTGTTCAGAAATGATATGTGATTATAGGTGTATAAAATCTTAAAGAATCTACAAAAAATACTATAACCAATTATTAAATTCAGTAATATGTCAGGATCCAACATCAATACACAAAAATCAATTATATTTACCTTGTGTTTATCAATTATTTATCATAGCAACAAACTGTAGGAAATTAAAATAAAAATACTCTTTACAGTAGCAACAACAACAAAACCAAAACCAAAACCAAAATAAAAACCACAAAAAACAAACCAAAAAAAAAAAACCACCTAGAAATCAATTTTTAAAAATAAGGTCAAGATTTATACCATGATAACTAGCAACAATGCTAGAAGAAATTATAGAAACATAGAGAGATAGGTACTTGTTCACAGAGCTAAAAGCCTACAAATTTTCCCAAAATTAAATCCACAAATTTAATTCTATCCTAATCAAAATGTTGGCAGTGTTTTTTTGCTTGTTTGTTTTTTGGTAGAACTTAAGCAAGCTGATTTTCCTCCCAGTTTTATTGAGAAAAAATGGACATACATCACTGTATAAATTTAAGGTGTATAGCATGATTGTCGAATATATATTGTAAAATGATTATATAATAATAACATCCATCATGTCATATAGTTACAATAAAGAGAAGAGAAAGGGGTGCTTGGGTGGCTTAGTTGGTTGAGTCTGACTCTTGATCTCAGCTGAAGTCTTAATCTCAGGTTCATGTGTTCAAGCCCCATATCAGGCTCAAAAAAAAATTATTCCCTGTAATGAGATAAATTCATATAGAAAAACAAATCACCTATAATAGCCAAAATTGTTTTGAAGAAAAATTTGAAACACTTATACTACCTGCTTTTAAGACTTGTTATGAAGCTACATTAATCAAGATAGTGTGATTTTTTTTTAACCTATGTATGGTGATAGATGTTAGCTAGACTTATTGTGAACATTTTGTGATCATTTTGCAATATATACAAATATCAAATCATTATGTTGTGCACCTGAAACTAATTCATTATATGTCAATTATATCTCAATTAAAAATAGCAATAAGGAATAACAATATGGTATTTGGATATAAATATTCACACAGGTCACTGGAATACAATAATGTCTTTAACAATAATCCCTTATATATATGACTGATTTTTGACCAAAGTGCCCAAGTAATTCAGTGTAGGAGTTAAGTTTTTTCAATAAGCCATGCTGGAACAAAACTAGATATCCACGTGGAAACAAATTAACTGTGACCCTTATTTTGCAACATATATAAAAATTACCTGATAAAAGATCAGAGACCTACATATAATAAACAAAACAACATAACTTTTATAAGAAAACAAGAGAAAATTTTGTGACCCTGGGTTAGGCAAAGTTTTCCTAAATAAGACCCAAAAAGATATGAATCATTAAAGAAAACAGTGATAAACTGAATTTCAACAAAATTGAAAGTTTGTGCTTTTCAAAGACACTGTTAAGAAAATGAAAGGCTAAGCCACAAACTGGGAGAAAATCTTTCCAATTCATATATCTGACCAACTACTTATGAACAATAAATTAAAAATCTCTCAAAGCTGAATAAGAAAACAACCTGCTTAGAAGTGTGGAAAAGACATGAACAGACATTTCACCAAAGATTTTATACAGATGGCAAATAAATACATGAAAAAATGCTTTACATAATTTGCAATTAGGTAAATGCAGATTAAAATCACAAGGAAATGTTATTATATACCTATTAGAATGGCTAAAAAACAAAAAACAAAAAGACACCTAACATGAAACCTAGTAATCCAACAGATGGAAGGAACCTAACAAACAACCCAGATATCCTGGAATGCACTAGTGAATGAATGGGTGGTATATTCATACAACAGAATGTTATTAATAAAAAAGAACCAACTACTGGTACATACAACAACAGAATGATATCAAAGGCATTCTGGTATGTAAAAGATTCTAAACACAAAGACTACTACTGTATCATTCCATTTATATGACACTGTAGAAAAAGTAAAATTATGGTGACTGAATGCAGATCACTGTTTAGCCAGGAGTGGGAACAGGGAATGGCTACAAAGGGAGAATAAGAAAACTTAATGAAGTGGTAGAAATGTTCTGTATCTTGATTATATGGTAGTTATACAACTATATATATTTGTTAAAATTCATCAAATTATACACTAAAATTGGTGAATCTTACTGTATGTAAATGACATCTAAACAAAGCTGATAAAAATGACATTGTAGAAGTGAATAAGAAGGTAAACAATCTAATATTTTTTTTAAAAAAGGCAAACTAACATGTAAAAGTAATGATAATATACCATGATCAGGTAGGCTTCATTCTAGCAATACAATAATTTAACATATAAAAATCATTCAATCCAAATTCACTGCTTTAATAGATTAAAGGGTAGAAACACTGTGATCATTTCAACAGATCAGTGGTTCTTTTTGTCCTCCAGGGGACATTTGACAATGTCTGGAGACATTTTCGTTGTTACAACTCAGTGGTGCTGGGGTACTACTGGCATTCAGTGGGTAGAGAACAAGAATGCTGTTAAAAACACCACAATGCACAGGGCAGGCTCCAACAAAGAACTACTATTCTATATTCTATTTCCCAATCAACACTGTGATTATGATATCTTTATATATTGCTATAAGTTACTTACATCTAGTCTGTTATTTACTCAACTACATACATCTAGTCTATTGTTCTTTGCAACATAATACTCCACAGTAAACATCCCCTATATGTTTTTTATTCATCTTCTGGTGGTCAATACCTAAAATTGCTTCTAATTGCACTCAACCACACACAACACCACCATACAATTAACAGCCTTGCAAATGCTCCCTCATGAGCCTCTGTAAGAATTTCCCTGGGATATATATGGAAACACTATGTCATACATATTTTGTCATATACTATGTCAACACTATGTCATATATATATAAATACTGCCCTGGAGCTTTCTGATATGACTGAACCATTTTAAATACTGTGCAGAAAAAGTTAACTTATCAGGCCTGAGACTACGATTCTTAGAAAGGCCTCCTTGGAAGATTGGCTCTTGGCTGGTATCTTGGAACGTGGATCTCAAGAGGGGTCTCATCATTCCCTGACATGAGTGACTCACTATGCTTTCACAGTTTATATACACAATGTGCCTTATGCTGAACACCTGCTTCTCATCGGAGAATCTGGAACTTTGGTACATTCTAGGCAGAGCATGCTCACATGACCAGTCCCCCACAAAAATCTTGGGTACTGATTCCCTAATGAGTTCCCTGATAGAAAACATTTCACATGTGTTGTAACAACTCATTGCAAGGGGAATTGAGTGTATCTTATGTCACTCCACTGGGAGAGGTATCTTGGAAGCTTGTCCCTAGATTTCTCCAGATTTTGTGCCATGTGCCTTTTATTTCTGCTGATTTTTCTTTGCATCCTTTAGCTATAATAAATCATAACCACAAGTATGACTATATACTGATTCCTGTGAATCTTTCTAAGAAATCACTGAACATAAGAGCAGTCTTATGGAATAGTCCCCCAACAAACATATGGGGAATTTGTAAAAAGATTTACTCCTAGTTGCACACTTTTCTGTGTCATTTGAATTTTGTATTGTGTGCACATAATACCTCTTTAAAAATGAACATTTTATGCAAAGGAGAAGAGTTGGAAGAACAACTAAGTTCCCTGTGAATGAAACCCCCCCCCAAAAATTAGAGAAGCACAGAAGTGTACAATGAATGCTTCTTATGTTCCAGATGAGGAAACCCAAAGAAGGTAAGGGACTTACCCAAAATTACCTAGACAGTCATTACAGACACAGGACTCAAATCCTTGCTCTCCTGTTTCCTAGTCCTCCTTCCTCTAAGTCACATGACCCCTTTTCCTACATTTATTACTTCCTCTACCTTATTGATCTCCTCTAAATGCCTTAAAGGTGTCTACTTTCATGCTACTTTCATACTTCTCAGATCCCTGGATTTTCCATGTAGTTTCCAAAACAATAAGTTCCATAGAAACTCATCCCAACAGGTACAGAAAAAAGAAAGTGAAGAAAATTCTACTGGTAGGTTTCTTGAAGGAGAGGAAAAAGGGAAGGGAATGGTTAAGAAAAAGTCCTAGACCAAATAACAGTACCCTTCCTAAGTCCTCACACCCTGGCAAGAAGGTTACATCAGGGTTGTAGGAGTCTATCCCCCACCACAGGAAAAAGAAGCTGAGCATGACCATACAGTTCAGACACTCCTTTCATTTCTTCCTGTCCCCTCTCAAAACCCTTTCCAAGGGGAAGATGCTTACGTGCTCCAGGAAGCAGGGTCCTATCTCACTGAGGTGGGGGTCGTCATTGTTGTACTGTTTCTCCAGGTCTCTCACGAAGCCCATCTGAAACCTGTAGATGTCTTCAATGTTCCCAAAGATTACTTTCAGTTGCTCATCACTGAACATGTCCCTTCTCTTCCGGCATTGCTTCAAGTAGCCCTGCAAACAAAGGAGAAGTCCAGGATGAGGATGTTCCTGACTCCAGGAACTTTACCAATTATTAAGCACTAAGACAGTTCAATTCCTACTTTATGAAATTGACACAGAATAATCATTTCCATTTTTCACATGAGGAAATTGAGGTTGAAAGAAGGAAGTCCCTCTACCAGTGAATTATTAGGAAAGCTTGATCACAAGCAAAGTTTTTCAGAGTGCAGAATCCAGAGTATAGAGCTTTCCCCACCATTCTCTATGACAAGGACCCGAAAAGTCATAGGGCCCTTTCTCAGAAGCTGATCAAACACAAATATTTTTACTCATTTTAGGAGTTATTAGATTTAGCTAGATCCATTAACATCTCAAAATTTCCCATTTCTTATAGGACCAATCTAAATTATATTAATAACATTGACAAAAATTTGGAAACAGAAGCTGAGTCAGGAAAACTTTGAAATAACAAATACAAACCATTCCTTAGAGATAGCTGACCAGCAAAGATCATTTGGATGAGCTTGGCCAGTAAGTCCACAAGTGCCTGGGCATGGTGATTAACAGAGTGAGTACTCAGGACACATTCATGAATAAACATATGAATTAATACAGCTAGCCATTGATAAAAGGGTAAATTCAATAAAAGAGATTTTTGATCTGATAAGAGAGTACTAAGATAATATAACCAGACTTGGGGCACACTGTAAGTCAGGGTCAAAAAAGAAAGAAAGAAAGAATAAAAAAAAAAAACACCTTCCATTCTGAACCAACTGGTGTAGACTGCTGATGGCCACTGTGTTCATTAGATATTATTAGTGCATGAAAATATTCTTGGTGAGACTAAATTATGGTCATTTACTTTCATCTAAAAGTTAAATGTGATTTTTGTAATCAGGGCCCAAATGAGGAACATTATAGTGATTAACAACTGTCTACACCTCCACTTTGTTTCCTCTTTATACAGCTTCCAATGTAACCATCATCTAGGCATACCCCAGGAAAATTCTCATTCCTGACTTCAATGCCCTTTACCAACACCAAGCAAAATCTCACTTCCATGATCACTTCCCACCTTCCAATTCAGCCATTAAATACTAAGTGTCTTTCAACAACTTGCAAATTAATAGTCTGTGCCTGTGTTGATGTTTAACTAATGGCTGGTTTCTCTTTGGTTGACATGCTCAAGATGTCCTGTATTTATTCATATGTAATTCCTGACCAGGAGAAATATATCCTCTATTTCCAGAATACCCTAAGTGCTACTTCTTTCACTGAAGTAATTCCCGAAATTCTGCCTCCCTAGTAATCATCCCTTGACTAAGGGACAGAAAAATAAACTACCTGCCAGAATGCAACTCCCAGAGTTTGCTTGCTTCTGTCTCCTCCCTCCCATCTCTCTTCTCTCACCCTATCACCTTTGGAAGTGTATTAGCCATAGTGGAGAAAGGAAAGCAGTGAGCATATCATCTGGCAGGAACTTTTCCATTTTGACCTTAGGTGAAGGAGCACAGATTTCCTCATCCCTTTCCCAGTGTTCCTCCCTAAGATAGGCCTGTGAGCACAGCTGGAAAAAAATGGTAACAATATCACATCAGCATGTCATTTCTGCATAAATAGTAGGTATTGGTAAGTAACCATACTGGAAGACATAAGAAACCAGCTTGGACAGCTCATTCATCCCCTGAGAAGCCCGTTCAGGAAATACCTAATAGTTCTGCTCACTGCTCCTATTTGAAAGGTCTCAGGGAAATAACAAATTAGCATCACATCCCCAAGGTATAGCAAGGATGCTAGAGCTATACACCACTAGGGAATATAACAGAAAGAAAAAGAAGGAAAAAAGTGAGTTCTGTTACAGAAAGAACGATAGAGATGTCAAAGCAGTTTCCTAATTCCCTAAATATACTATTTATTGCCATTATCAAGAACATCATTTTCTTTCTGTTAGATTATATATGTTGTAGCAAGAGAATATTAACTATATATAAGGAGAAATGTGACTACCCATAAGATGGGGGGACTCTAGAGTGTTGTGTCAACTATTTTTCTTAAAACTCTTTTTCGTAAAAGCTAATGCTACATATAAATATATTTTGGTGCATTTAGATTGATACAGCTATTAGATATGATGATTAGAAAGACTGTCTAGGTCTCTTCAACAAAAGGTTTTGGGAAAATTCAACAACCACATGCAGAAGAATGAAACTCGACCACTTCCTTATAACATAAACAAAAATAAACTCAAAATGGATGTAAGACCTAAATGTGAGACAGAAATCCATCAAAATCCTAGAGGAGAACAACCACATTAACCTTGGATGCAACAAATTTTTGCTAGACATGTCTTTAAAGGAAAGGGAAACAAAAGCAAAAATGAATTATTGGGACTTCATCAAGATAAAAAGCTTCTGTACAGCAAAGAAAACAGTCAACAAAACCAAAAGGCAACCTAACAAATGACAGAAGATACTTGCAAATATCTATTCAGATATAGGGCTACCATCCAAAATCTATAAAGAACTTGTCAGACTTGACACACAAACCACCCCCCTAAAAATCCAGTCAAGAAATGGGCAGAAGACAGGTACAGACAGGTCACCAAAGAAGACATACAAATGGCCAACAGACACATGAAAAAATATGAATCAAAACCACAATGAGATACCACTTAGCACCAGTCAGAATGGCTAAAATTAACAACTCAAGAAACAACAGATATTTGTGAGGATGCAGCAAAAGGGGAACCCTCTTATACTGTTGGTGACAATGCAAGCTGGTATAGCCACTCTGGAAAAGAGTACGGAGGTTCCTCAAAAAGTTGAAAATAGAGCTACCCTACAACCCAGCAATTGCACTACTAGATATTTACCCAAAGGATATAAACATAGTAATTCCAAGGGACACATGCACTCCAATGTTCATAGCAGCAATGTCTACAATAGCCAAAATATGAAGAGTTCAGAAATCTATACACAGATGATTGGCAAAGTAGATGTGGTAGATATGTACAATGGAATATTACTCAGCCACCAAAAAGAATGAAATCCTGCCCTTTGTAACAATGTGGATGGAACTGGATGGTATTATGCTAAGGAAAATAAGTCAGTCAGAGAAAGACAGATACCATATGATTAAACTTATCTGTGGAATTTGAGAAATACAACAAATGAACATAGAAAAAGGGAAGGAAAATAAGATGAAAACAGAGGGATACAAATCATAAGAGACTCTTAACTATAGAAAACAAACTGAGGGTTGCTGGAAGGGAAGTGGTTGGGGGATGTGGTAACTAGGTGATGGGCATTAAGTAGGGCACTTGATGCAATGAGCACCAGGTGTTATATGCAACTGATGAATCACTGAGTTCTACCTCTGAAATTAATAATATACTATATGTTAATTAAATTAACTTAAATTTAAACAATTTTTTTAAAAGACTGTGAAGAAAAGAGAAGGAAGATGGCAGCAGAGTAGGAGGACTATCGGCTCTCCTTGTCCTATGTACACTAGATAATTTTCAAATCTCCCTAAATACCCAGACATTGACCTGAAGACTGACAAAACAAACTCCACAACTAGGGAGAGAAGAAGCCACATCAAAGAAGGTGGGAACTGTGGAAGCATGGTTTAGAGAAAAACCATACTGCAGGTACCCTGCAGAGGAGGTAGCAGTGGTTGCAGAGAAGGGTGAGAGATAGTGGAACACACACGGGAATGCAGAGGGAGAAATTTTCCCCAAAGCCACTGGCTTGGAAAACAAAAGGGGCTGAATTTGGCAAGTTCTTGTAACCACTGGGACATAAATCCTGAAGTTTTAAAGGTCACTGGTCTTGGTTAGGATAGAGCCCAGAGAGCACTACCCTACTCCTGGACAGAAGGCAGGCAAAAAACCTAGGGCAGAAGGTTTGGAAACAGTGATTTGACGAACACTTGGGGCACACAGTGGGGAGATTATTTGTTCTTCTTAGAGGTTCCCAAGAGGCAGCATTCACTGAGACACCTCTCCAGGAACAAAGGAGCTGGCTGGCATCATTTCCCTGTTCTGACTCTCAGCATAAACATAGAGCCACCTACCAAAATCAGCACAGCACTGACTGTGTCTGCCTAACTTGCTTACATCAAATCACATACCCCTGTGCTCTCAAACTTGCTTTAGTCCCAGTGCAGCAGATCCCTTCCCCAGAAGACCAGCAGAAACCCTTGCCCACACCACATATCTAAAGCCTGCAGCTTAAAAAGTCAGTAGACTTGGATGGGATAGAGGAAGAAGAGCACTGCACTGTTCCTGGAGAGAAGACAGACAAAAGGAAACAAACAAACAAATAAAAAACAGAGGCAAACAGCATGAAAAGAACTCTCTGAAGAATATCTGGGGCACACAGGAAGGAGATTATTGGCTCTTCTCTGAGAGGCAGCATTCATGGAGAGACCTCTCAGGACACAAAGGAGATGGCTGGCAACATTTTCCTCCCCGATCCTCAGCATAAGCAGGGAGCCACCTGCTAGAAGGAGCTCACTGGCTGCCTGATTTGCTTATACCAAGTCCCACACCCCTGTGCTCTGGCAGAATAGCCATCTTCAGTCAATTTTGCCCAAGTCCCAGTGTGGAAGGCCACTACCCCAGAAGACCAACACAAACCCTTCCCCACACCATGTCTCCCAGTCAGAGAGTTCTGCAAGGCCTCAATTCTCACGGAAGTAGTATCAGGTTTCATTTAACCAGGAGGCCAGAACACACCTAGTTAAAACTAGCCATACTCAGGCCAAGGACCAAACACTGCCCCCTGCAGGCAAGGAGAGCCATTGCAAATGACTGCCCTGAAGGATAGTGCAGCCAAAACACAACAGCAAAGGACACTAAGCACATACCAGAGACACTCCCTGAAGCACCAGGCCCTGAACACTACATGATGATCTGTTCTTCAAAAAGCCATTATTTTCAAGAGCAGGACACATAACTAGCATTTCTAACACAGAGAAGAAGGCAGAGAATTAGACAAAATGCCAAG